ACCCTTGATATCAGCAACTAGATTCTGGGTCAGTGGGGGAGATGAATTTAAAAGTGGCAAAGGTGGAAATGATTAATTTCTACCTGAATAGTTCTTCCAAATATATAATTCCTTCTAAAATGTCTCTACTTTTCTACTCTTGTTCAGTCTATTAAATTATTAATTCCTCTGCGCAACTTCAAACTCCTGAGGACTGTGTCATGGTCTTTGATCTCCTTTCCCCTGTCTTCTGTCTCTAGCACCTGAGGTGATGCACACTAGGAATGAATTCCTAAATGTTTCTGAACTTAACGGGACAAAACTGAGTTCTTACCTTGGAGAGTATGATACTAGTCTCAACTCAAAAACCTTTTCTCGTTCATTGTTCTGCCTTTTCAAATTCTAGCTGCCTGCCCTTCTACTCTCTCTCCTTTGAAGCTTTCTCCTACTACTCTGTCTACTCTGATCTCTCTCTCTCTCTCTCTCTCTCTCTCTCTCTCTCTCTCCTAAGACTTTGTTTTCTTTGCTTACTCTATGATACATTATATTTTTAATTCATATATCTTAGATATATTTGTTCTTCAATCAAACAAAGGAGATGAATGGGTGGGACATAACTGCAAATTAAATATTTAATGAACTGAAGCAGTATAATAACATCAATGCCATAATTATAAATATTAAATAGAATCTGAGCTAAAACTTCCTTTGAGGAAGTGTTCTTTATAATTTTCTTCTTATGTCCTGTAATAATGGGTGGTTAGTAATGAGTCATGTTATATTTAACTGGGATCTGTTTTTGCCTTAGTTTTAGAGATTTGACTAGAACTTCATAAAAATGTGGTACAACAAATAGTTTTCACACTAAATGTAGAAAATCCTATAATACATACTCATAAAAATAATTCTACTTTCACTACAAATATTCAGAATCAGCTTGCTGGTTTTGGTAAAATTAAAAATTTACAGCAATAGTACTATATTCTTATGGTTACTTTTTACTTTTTATTTTTTTCACCAAACATTAAAATATCTTTTGGTAGTGTAAGTTACATTTTTCTACCATTAGAAAAGTATAGGATTAGTTGCTTTTAAACCACTTGAATAACTTGAATGAGGACATTTAGTGAAAGTACTGGCTCCTTTTCCACTAATTTTGCTATTTTTCTATTTTTCCTTTGTCTGCAATATGTGAATATGGAATGGATTAGATCACAGTTTAGTTGGTTAGAGTCTTGTTAGGATATTTGTATTTTATATTTTTAAATGTCTGGAATCTAGAAGCCTTCTGGGGCTCTGTTTCTTTAAACTCACTTTCTTACCACATGCATTAGTTCCCAGAACTACAATATGATGCTCCCAAAGTGGGGCAGGGTTTACAGGAGACTCAGTGCTGAAGTGAGACTTCTTTATCCTCATCAAGCAGTTATTACTCTGGGCCTACTGCTGCCCGTGTGCTAGGGAGCCTCCCGGGATAGATAGTTATAAGCGATGGTTTCTGCTCTATAGGTCAGGAAATGCTGATTTGCAGTCCAGGTACAAAGTTCCAAGAAGTTAAGAGCAGGAAGTAATCACATGGCTGCAATGAAGGGGAGTTGGAACAGTCCTCAATGGTAGGATCTAGATGAGCACAGTAGAAGGGAGACTCATCTGGGGAGGAAACAGAGGCTCAGAGACATCCTGGAATATGTGTGCTGTTGTCAAGGGCCAAGAAAAAAGCCCTTTGGTCTAGGGTAGAGCTAGAACACCGGAGACGTGGGAGAAAACACAGCCAGGGCCGGACTGTGGAGGGCACTCACAATGAGGAGTCACTGACTACTTTCTTGGACAATGAGGAGTCTCTGACTATTTTTGGCTAAGAAGTGACACATACAACGTGATATTTCAGATTAGATTATGCACAGGGTATATGGGACCCGGGACATTTGGAGGCAGAAGGTTCCACAGGTAGATTATTTTAGTACTAGAGGCCCAATGCACGGATTTGTGCACAGGTGGGGTCCCTCAGCCTGGCCTGTGCCCTCTTGCAATCTGGGACCCTGAGGGATGTAGCAGTGCTGAAGCAGCAAGCAGCTAGGGAGGAACCCCAGCCGGGGCCAGGCGCAGCTCCACTGCCCCTCATCCTGGTCCCACTGCTCCTGCCGCTGCCACCGCCACTGCAGCTGCACTCACCAGCCACGAGCCCAGCTTCTGGCTGAGTGGAACTCCTGCTATGGGAGCCCACTGACCATCAGGGGCAGCTCCTGCATCGAGTGTTTGCCCCCTGGTGGTTAGTGCGCATCACAGCAACTGGTCAACCAGTCATTCGTTGTAATGGTTGCTTAGGTTTTTATATATATAGATAATACAGAAGATAGACAGGACTGGAATAGTGGCAGAGGAATGAGAAGGAAGGATTAAGGTACAAGAGAAAGAGCAAAAGATGAATCAATAGGCTTGGCTAGCTGACTCAGTGTCGGGAAGAGAAAGAGGAGTTAAAAAACTTACTTTTGGGGCCTTAATTTTTACACTTTGTATTAGATACCTACTAACTTGGCTGTTGAGGTCCAACATCTCTCCTCTTTGGGGTGAGGGGTGGGGGAGAGGGACTGCCTCACTTCCAGACAGTTCACAGATGGGCACAGTTCAATCCTGTGCCAGGAATCTGGAATTAGGCACCTAGAGAGTGGTATCCCTATGAGGTATTGGTTGTGTCCATCTGTGAGCTGGCAAGTTGAAGAAGCTGCTTTGTAGAAAGAGAAAAATAAAGCAGAGGTGGATAAAAAAGTATGAGAGGCAGAGAAGAAAAGGTAGGTCTGTGTTCCCTCTTACACTTTAGTCTTGGCTTTCATGTGTCTCCAAAATGCATCCCTCCCCTGATTCTGTAGGACATCCTATGACACAGGAATACATTCCCCCTTGGATTAAGCTAGCTTGGCAGGGTTACTGTTACTTGTAGAAAAAATGATATATTCCTCAGTGCAAACTATCTTCATTCATCTGGTGCTCTGGCTACTCTGATCACTTCAACACTTTACTAGTCAGTAAACATTTTCATGCCATTTCTTTCATCTAGAACAGCGGTTCTCAACCTGTGGGTCGTGACCCCTTTGGGGGTTGAACGACCCTTTCACAGGGTTCGCCTAAGACCATTAGAAAACACATATATAATTACATATTGTTTTTGTGATTAATCACTATGCTTTAATTATGTTCAATTTGTAACAATGAAAATACATCCTGCATATCAGATATTTACATTACGATTCATAACAGTAGCGAAATTACAGTTATGAAGTAGCAACGAAAATAATTTTATGGTTGGGGGTCACCACAACATGAGGAACTGTATTAAAGGGCCGAGGCATTAGGAAGGTTGAGAACCACTGATCTAGAATATTTTCCCCTGCCCAATTCTGCTGATTCCGCCTGTAGAAATCCTGACTATGCTTCCTTTCTTCCACCTCTCTCCTTTAGGTAATTTTTGAGTGAGTGATAATATCTGTACATTGTAATGTCTTCCCACTTCAAGTCCCTGCTTTTAGTGAACTAGAGGAAGAATAATTTAAACTATTTAAATAAGGTAGAGGTAGTGGATGGTAGTAGGAAATCAGAAAACTTTTGCTTTCACAAATACACGTTTGAACAAATTCAAAAGACAGTGATGCACTTGTCTACTTATACCTTTGACTCTAAGATGGATTCAAAGAGGTACAAGTGGGCCACTTGGCCAAAGCAGATATTTCACTTAAGGAAGTATATTAGGAGTATTAGATGGAAAGAGAAAAAATAGCCTTTAAACAAGCAATGCATGATACATCATTGCATAAGTACTATAAATTCAGTCTTATAAAAATCCAGAGGAAGTTCTACAGTAAGGAGAGGCAGATATGGAACCCACCAATACTTTCTCACTCAAAACCCAGGGCTTTGTACACTATGTGGAAGAAATGATAAATACATCAATTTTTAGGTGCAACAAAGAATTTAATTTTATATCTTCAAATAATTTTTAAAACAATGATGTTTTTAAATTATCATCCATTAAAATAGCTATATACTCCAGGAACCATGTTGACCCTAATGTTTGAGCTACATTATATAAAAAAAAGATTGTTTTTCTCCTCTTTCTCTATTTAAATACTACAGAATATTTCTTAAAATGGTCTCTTTTTACCTCTAGAAATGAGAAAACCAATCTGTTATCCTGTGAAATCTCACATAAATTCAGAACACAAAGGACTATACTTTCCCTTCAGCAATGGAGCCTTTGTTCTAATAACATAATGCCTTGGGAAGAAAAAAAACAAAATTACCTTATGAAAGCAACACAAAAATGTCTAGTAAATGGACAGACATTTAATGAGCAAGATAAAATGCCAAGAAATAGTTAATGTCTCTTTTTGTCCCATTCAAAGGACACTCCTAAGATCCTAAAGCATTAACACTGGAAGATTACATGAGCAGCACTGGTTAGCAGGATGCTATTGTACAAACAGTCTGTTGCTAAGCAGGGCAGAAATATTGTTTACATAAAAATGGAAGGACCTCTGGTGAATCCGGAAAGAAAGTGATCATTTCCATAACCGAAAGAGCATTTTTATATCATTCCATTTCAACTGCTATAAACCCTGAGTTGCTTTGGCAATTGCTTATTCCCGTTTTGCTGGCTCTATATCATCCTCATCTTTGCAGCTTTCCATTTACTGAATGACAGGGGGTCTTTTGTGTTTTGTTTGTTTTGTTTTGCTTTGTTTCCCCTGAAGCCTTGGCAGGAAACACCACCGTGCTGTATGGTTTCTAGGGGCCCACTTTGCAATGCTCATTCAATGAATTTTTGGTGCCCCTCTCATAAAAACCTAATTGGCTTATCCTGGTAAAATTGCTGAAAATATGATCAGAGGAGGCCCCATTAATAGCAACTGTGAAGGATGCCCTCCTCTAGCTTTATGGAGCCTTTCCCTGCATAGTGTTTGTTTGCTAGACTGAGAACAAAGCACAGCACAGCTTCCATGAGAAGAGGGAAACACAAAGACACTTACCTGCATGACAATCAGGAGGTCAAAGACCAAGATGAAAGAAGCCAGGAAAGCTCTGGAAACTTCATCACTAGGCAAAAATCCCCGATTCAACTTGTCCCAGCTGATCCAGTCAGTTGTAATGACGAGTACAACCACAGAAGTCAGAGTGAACAGAACCGTCCTGCAAGGAACAAGACACTTGTTAAAGAACATCAGACATAAGAACACACAGACAGTGGAGAGTGCATGTTATCTGTGCTAGTATATTAAATGTCTACCCCAGGCCAAGTACCTACCCTAAGGCACATTCACCAAAAGAAAGATGAAAAAAGAAGTAAATTAAGTGCTGTCTCTCAATTAGAAAAAATATATGATAGCATCTCCTCAAAGAGTTTCCCTTAAGGAAATTAAGATAATGATTACAGAGCAAGACATTAACAACAAAAATATTACAAATGGCCTTGGTTAGTGCAATGTGTGGCAAAGAGGACATTGGTGTGTACATTCTCACTGCATGTACATCCTTTACTGAGGGCAGTGAACATGTCTATGGAAGAGATAGACAGATGGTAAATGGGTGAGGAAGTCCTGGGACTTTATTAGCTTTTAACAAAAAGAGAGAGATAGTTAGACCTCCCATCATTCTCCTAATAGCCTGATGAGCTCTATAGAGAAACCACCTCTATATGCCAACTTCTCCTCATAGGTCTCGTGACATAGATAGCTTGTGGCCTAGTGATCAATGTAGGTCACATCATGTCTGCTTGCCCATTGCTTGTTATAAGATAATAGGGGCCTGAGATTTTTCTCTTATGTATCTTTGTAGGTCCCATAAAATCTTGCATAATTATATGCAGATAAAAGTCAATGAACATTTTTTAAAATTATAATAATTATCAATTAAGCTCTTCATTAAAAAAACTAGAGGCCTGGTGCACACGTGCACTGATGGGGTCCCTTGGCCTGGCCTGCAGGGATCAGGTGAAACCGGCTCTCTGACATCCCTGAGGGGTCCCAGATTGCAAGAGGGCTCAGGCCAGGCTAAGGGACGCACCAGTGCACGATCCGGCCCAGGGAGGGACGGCACGGGGGCTCCAGGGCGTGTCCAGCCCGTCTTGCCCAGTCCCGATAGGCTGGACACCAGCAGTAAGCTAACCTACTGGTCGAAGTGTCTGCCTCTACATGCCAACTGATGGTCAGTGTGTGTCATAGCAACTGGCCAAACGGTTGAACAGTAGGACACTTAGCATAGTAGGTTTTTATAATATAGGATACTTAAATTAGTCTTTAATATTGTCATTCAAAGTAAATCTGAAATATGGATTTAATCTGCTAGAGAATTGTCCACAATGCAATTCTTTCAGAGCTATATTGGTACCTCAATATTGTTTTGAACTGTAAAGAGGAAAATAAAAGAGAAAAATAGTTTTAAGAAATATATATCTAAAGAAATAATAAAATAAAGAAAATAATGAAAAAAGAAAAAATATATAAATATGGAATTATACCTTAGATGAATACTTATCCATTTTGGGAATTAACAAACTGTTTTTGCCCTCTAATTTTTTATAATTGATATTCCAAAAACAATGATATAAATTATCTTAGATTTCTCTTTTGAATTGAATAAAATACAAATTTCTAGAACAAAATTTTGGATTTTCTCTTCAAAACATCTTATTTGGAACAAATTATTAGCATAAATTTTTATTTTGATATAATGGATATAACAAATACCTTCTTAGATTACCACCAGAGATAAAAATTATATTATTTTATTTTTGAAAAACAAAAAATTATAATAAAATTTCATTTATATTATTAAAATTACAAACTCAAAATAATTTGACTCATGATCTCCAAAATGTAAATTATAGATTGTCTCTACTACCATTTAGAATACCTTTGATTATTTCCAGAAATTCAAATGGATTAAATAATTGTAAAAATTATTTCTACAATTCAACAGAAAAACATTGCAAATATTATATAGTGAAATATAAGAAAAATGTGATTTTAAACAAATTTTTCTCCAGGTTAAGTCAACCTGTGTTTTGGGTTTTTTTTGAGTTTGAGAAACTTTAATCAAATTACCACAATTTCTCTTGTCAACAGGAATATAACAGCCTCCATGAAGGAAAGATAAATATTGATTATTCTTCAAAGCTCCTTTTGGTAATAAGGGTATTTCCTCAGCATGCTTAGCTTTTCAAATGATGTCCCACAGGATGCTGTGAATAGATATAGTTCCTTAGGCCACACTGCATGGCTGAAGAGTCTGGTAAATAGTTAGGGTCCCAGTTCCCACAAGCTCATCCTTCCTTGCCTCCCCAGCCTCCTTCATGAAGCCCTTCACCTCCCTGATACTCAGCACCAAGGTGTGAAGCCCAGGAGACAGGATGCTCCAGCACCTTGCTCCAGCTCTACGGGCAGTGCCCTTTCCCTTGCACAGAGTCTGTGGTCTACAGGTTAGTATTTTTAATATCTTCCCCTGGACTTTCCCTAAGAGATACCTGGAAGCTCCTTTTGTGAGGATAGTTGATTATATAGGAATTCATACTCTAATGTTACTTCATTGGTCTACATATGTAAATTGATGCTGTAAAATTAAATATTCAGAGCAACATTTTTAGATGTAAAAATCTGTGAGTTTGGAATAAGTGTCTGCTGAGCAATCAGAAACTTCATCTGTTATAAGATTTTTTAAATAAATTGTTCTTATTCATGTTGATAATCTCATTGTGAATGAAATCACTAAAATTAATCATTAAAACTTTTTTTTGGTAATTGGAGTTTCTCATAATGCCTGTTGTATGAGAGCTTCCTAAGACCAAATCTGTATCGATTCACCTGTCATATGTTTGCTTTGATATATTTCATTTACTCCAATATGTAATATTCTAAGAGCTTTTCATAGGTATATTCCTGACTTTATTAAGTACTTCTGTTTTGACAAAGAGTATTGCCATAGAGCTCAAGAAAAAGTTACTGGTAATATTTTATTACTCCAAAGGGAAATTAAAGGAGGTATTCTGTCTGACATTTAATATTTAATACTATAAAGAGAATAAAAATGGCAATTATTAAATATGCATACATACAGCTCACAGAAAGAGCCCTAAAAATAAAGACTCTGGAGAACAGGAAAAAGAAAATGAATAGGGGAACCAGAATACATTAATTGGTCATTAGAGCTCCAAAATTATATTCAGTGCTTTGGCTAGATTTGGCTGAAAAAATCAATGTGCTGCATGTGGTTTGATTTCTGAGCCACTGCTTATATTTGTTATATTTTTACCAAGCTATGATAATTCAGTCACAACACCAGTTTAAAAGACCCAGTTAGGATTTACAAAAAATAAAACTTTTATGTGAAAAAAAGGACAGTAATAATAGCAAATTGCAATTACAGCAATATGCCACTTACAATGTGCACAGCATTGGCATAAGTACTTTACACAAATTAACTCATACAATCCTTACCACAACCCTGTTATCACCACCCTCGATTTACTATTGCTCAAACTGAGTTACAGAAAATTCAAATAACCCAACTAGGGTTACAGACTTTGTATGTTATGTAAAATATCAGATATATGTGACATAAGATGATTGAAACCCAGGCTCACTCATGACGGTCTGTCCTAACCATTGTCCACATGGCCTCTCATAGGAAACGCCTGCTAGTACCCTCCTGTTCCAATGTTTGTAGCTAAGAGTTCATTTATTTTCCTTGAAAAATTATCCTCCGGAATACTTAACAGTGAAAACTAAAACTGACAGACACTGACACCACTGCCAGGGAAGAGCTAAAAGGAATATGTCCATGGCAGCAGACATGGAACCTGAGGGAGGCTGGCCATCCATACAACATCCTTCGGTTTTACTGAAGCAATATGGTTGAAAAGATGCTTACTCTGGACCATGCTTCTTGGGGAGTTCCAGCTTCTCTCTTTAAGAAGCATCTAATTAAGCAATTATCTGGATTATTTCCCTTCAGGCCGCAGCCAGCACCAGCAGGACATCCTGGCTCATCAATATCACTGACTGGTTGATGGCCACCAAATAGAAAGAACTCATAAATAATCATCAGCTTGAGTGGTGAATCTCACTTTCATGTTTTCAAATTCTAACTCGTTTGCTTTTCCTCAGTTGTTGCTAATTCCTCTTAGATGAATAAGAATTAGAATTTGAGACAAGAAGGGCTAACAGCGCTTTTCTGAGCCAATGGCTTCTGACCTCTGGGAGGGCTCCTGGGTGCCATGGAGCGGCTGCTAAGCAAGTGTGAATGCATATGTGCACCAGGAGCTGCCGGTCAAGTGAACAAACAAAATGCTTCCCGACAGGTTAGGGGACTGGCTTGTGTCACACAGACAGCCAGTGACTGAACTTCAGTGAGAACTTACATCTACTGACTCTGAGGAGGATCTGTCCTGTGGTAAACCACTTTCCTTCTTCAGCTGGAAATCTGCAGATATTCTCAAAAATTTCATATCATCTTGATCTCATTTGGAAACATAGGCATTTAATAGCCTCTTCAAATATTTATTTTATATGGTCATCAGAGACAGAGTCATCCATGTAAGCAAATGTAGACAATCCCCCAAACGTGGTTTATTTCATAGTCTGAGTCATTCTAACCTAACTTCTGGATTTTCAAAAATACTTAACTCTAAGTAACTAAATTATTACTATTGTTTTCCTTCTTCCATTCATAACCACTTTAAGATAGACTTATAGCATAGTCAAATTTCCTGAAAGCAGACATTAAATCAAGGGAGAGAAGAATTGGCATTAGGTTTTAAGCGCTAACTCACAGGGCTATTACACACTTTCATTTTGATTAAACCAGGAATGTGCAGACTCTCCTAACTAATATATTATGAGCTGAGTCAAACAAAATTGCCAAAATCTAACCACCTTTTACTCTACTAAAAGTAGCAATTATAAGTGATTCGATATAATATGCTTTTATGTGTTTTAATATATTAGCTATTATTCATGCTCTAAATTATTTATAATATTCTATTCCAGATCTCATATTCCTTTCTGATCATGCTACACAGTTATTGTAACATCTACATGGGGAAAAATCACTTTTACTTCTTTTAAAAATACTTGTGTTAAAATGTTGGAACAATCAAAACAAGTCAGATCATGTATCATAATTTCTCATAGTAA